ATTGAAATTTTTTTAATTTTATTAGAATTATAAAATTATATAATAATAGAATCATTAAAATTATAAAATTATATAATATTAGAATTGAAAAAATATTAGAGAATTATTAGAATTATAAAATTATATAATATAAGAATTGAAATAATATTAAAATTATTGGAATTCCAAAATTATATAATATTAGAACTATCTGATTAATCGTCTAATACTTAAACAATCTATAAAGTCACGGTTCGATGATGAAACTTCGAATGCACCTAAATGGCAGAGTTTTGCATATGTTGCAAGAATGGAGAAACAATTTCTTAAACATTTATCCCGCAGCCTCGGGTTTAATTAGCATAGCCAGCTCTCTTGTCGCCAGACCTAATTGAATTCCTCCACGTAAATCCGCTGCTCATATCTCGTTAACACCGTTTACGTATTAGACCGCAATTAGCGGGCGAATAGAATTATCCATTCACCTCTAGCCTCGTTCCGAACTTCTACCGCGGAGTGCTAATAAAACCACTGTCAACCTCCGCCATATTTTCCATCGGTTTATTGCCGGCCAGGCACGAGCAAGCTTTTACACCGCAGCGACTCTTTAGATCTTTCCATTTTCTAAGAAAGCGAGTAAAGAAAAAAGCAGCCGCGCTATGGGGACCATCCCGAGGTAATTATCTCTCGAAAACTGTTCGCCGTTCCCTGGAAACGACGAGAACGGCGTTGCTACATTGTATCGATCAGGGCTGGCATCATTGGCTTCGCCAAGCCCTTGCCGATTTTATCTTCTAACCTTCCCTGCCTTTTATGGGCCCTAAAAACTTTTCCTAGATTCTGCGATGTTTCTCTTTTTTTACAAGCTGTACGCACTGTTTCCGCGGGCTCCGCAAATTTTTCATTGGCCTTTCGATTTCTTTTATGGACCCCGAGCTCACTTTTTATAATCTTCGCAATGTTTTTATAGGTTCTACTTTTTCTTACGACCACAATTTTCTTTTGTTTTTAGTAAGCCCTGTTATGTTTTCCGATGGGCTCTACTGTCATTTCGTAGACCCCTTTTTTTGTAGTTTTTACAATGTTTTCATGGGTTCTATTTTTTCTTACGACCTCAGTGGTTTTTTAGCGAACCCTATTATATTTTTTGATGGACCCTGCAAGTATTTTGTAGACCCTAAACACTTTTTTATAGGCGCCACTATTCTTTCATAGGTCCCAGAACTTTTTCATGCGACCACAAATTTTGTTTATAGAGCCTACTATTTTTTTTTTCGTAGATTGTACTTAATTTTTTCATAGGCCTTGCAATTTTTCTGTGCGTCGGATACAGCTTTTTTTTACAGATCCCAAAAACTTTTTATACATCCACAATTTTTTCTTACGTCCAAAATATTCGCTCATAATACGAAATGTTTTTATAGGTGCCATAGCTTTTCCAGGAGTCTTTAACACGTTCACTTTGCAGCAAATAAAAACGTATAACCTGATAAAATTACGACGGATAATAATTAAGAACGAGATCTGTGGGCATTTAAAATGCCTCGCTAACTGCCTGAATAATAATAGCAATAATAATAATAATTATAACTTCATATATCGATGGGATGAACTTACTGAAATGTTTTCATCGTTAACTATCATTTATTAGAATATCATTTGTTAGAATATCATTCAGTAGAAAATTTCACAATTTGAAGCAATCTGTAGAATTTCTTCGCAAAAAAACAAGAATTCTGCTCGCAAAATTGTTCGCAGATCTTCGACGTTGCGGCAAAGCCGTCTCTGCGAGACGTCCCTGGCGTCGATCCTTCCGAAAAATCCTGGTCAGTCTCCGCGTCGTCTCGATCCTTGCATCGATATTAAAAGTATCGCCGCAGGGTGAACGTGTCATCGGAGAATATCGTTAGCGGGTCACGGCGCGGGTCAAAACGATGCGCAAATATCCGACTCACCTTGCGAATGACGATCATCGACGTCGTCGTCATCGACGCGTTCGTCGTCGTTCGTTACACGATCCTCGATCTCTCCTTTCGCTTCTCCGATCAGTCAAAATCACAATGGTTCGCAATCGGTTTCCTCGGGACGCGTTAAAGTCGTTTATTGCGAAAGTAACGCCGACGTCTCGAAAATCTCCGGCGCCCGATTAACCTTTTAGGCACGACGCGCCACTATAGTGGCTTCTGCGGGTATGATCTTTTAGAACGACACGCCACTATAGCGACTTTCGCGGATGTCATCTCTCTGGACGACGCGCCACTATAGTGGCTTGCTCCTGTCTCTTATACACATCTAGATGTGTATAAGAGACAGATAGTGACTTTCGCGGATGTCATCTCTCTGGACGACGCGCCACTATAGTGGCTTGCTCCTGTC